TGTCCAAGTTTACAACTCCTGCATATCAAGGTGCATTATAAACAGAGCAAAAATACACACGGAATACTGGGGGAAAATTGTCAAACATACAACCAATTGTTTCACATCCTTATTAATAATCTCATACAGGGGTGCCTGGGTGGCTCAGTCAGTTGAGCGTCCGACTTCAGCTCAGGTCATGATCTCACAGTCTGTGGGTTCAAGCCCCACGTCGGGCTCTGTGCTGTCAGTTCGGAGCCTGGAGTCTGCTTCGGATTCTGTGTCTCCCTCTCTCTCTCTGCCCCTCCTCCACTCACACTCTGTCTCTATCAAAAAATGAATAAACGTTAAAAAAATACTTTTAATAAAAAAATAATAGTCTCATACACATTGGGGCACCTTGGTGGCTCAGTCGGTTAAGTGTCTCTTAATTTTGCTCAGGTTACGATCTTGTGGTTTGTAAGTTCGAGCCCCACATCAGGCTCTGCACTGACAGTGTGGAACCTCCTTGGGATTCTCTCTCTCCCTCTCTTTCTGCCCTTCCCTTGCTCAAGCTCTCTGTCTCTCAAAATAAATAAACTTTAAAAAAAAATCTCCTACACTTCAACAGGAAAACATAAAGAACCTAACAGACAAATTGGCAAAAGGAAGTGAGCAAGTCCACTGAGAGTAAAATAAAGCTAGTAACATGTGGAATAATATCCAGCTCACTAACTATCAAAGAAATACAAATAAAACAGCAGGGAAATACTTTGAGTTAAAAATAAAAACCATGCTAATATTCAGGGTTGGCCAGGATATAGTAAGAGGGGCGTGCGTGTGTGAACACAGCTGGTGAGAGTGTAAATTGGATTAACTTCTAGAAAGCAATTTGGCAATATGTATCAAGGGCCTTTAAAATGTTTATACTCTTTGATTCAGTAATTCCACTTCTGGGAATCTATCCTATGAAAATAATCTGAAATGCGGGCAAAGGTTTATGCTCAAAGATATTCTTCAAAGTGTTATTATAAACAGTCTAACAATCCAGTCATTGAATAACGTTTAAATAAATGATGGTACATATCACACAGGACTGTAGTCATTAAAAGGTCTTCTTATGGGGAATTTTTAAACCCTGAGAAAAGCTTGTGATATAACCCTCATTATCTTAAGGCATGTATACGTATGACACAACTATATGCACTTTGAAAGCATAGGCCAAAAACAAGATGTTAAAAATGATGGCATCTGGGTAGTGGAATTCTGAGCATTGTTTTTGTTTATTTTTACGCTGGTTTCAAACTCTAAACAATAGGCATATGTTTTTTGAATGAAGGAATATAAAAGAAAGTATGAGACCTATTCAGGGATTGACAAGTAACTGGCATGTGAAACATGCGTGTGTTCACGAAAACACACAACGAAAAAGCAAGGCCTAATCATAAGGAGGGAATAAAACATGACACAATTTTCATTTGCTCCATACGTTTTTTTTTTTTTATTTTGCTTATGTTTCCTTTGGTAGTTCTGAGAGTGAGGGTAATAAGGTCCTAATTATTTAATGGTCACATATAGAGCATAAGAAGAAAATGTTTGGGAAACTAGAAATCAACAAGCGAAGACGAAGGAGAATTTTTCCTGTCATCCTAAAAAGTCTTTGCCCTGAAGGAGGGGCAGAGTGGACAGGCATGTCACCAGCAGGCCGGGTCTGCCAGCTACAGTGGACACACCAGTCTGCTTTCAGGAGTAGCACCCAGCTGGAGGCCATTTGCCGGCCACCACGCCTCACCTTCACTTAACTGGGAACTACCCCCTATGAAATGGAAACAACAGAGCTGCCCTGTCCCAGCAGCTATAAGGTTAGTGCACAGGCAGGTCAAGTGCCCGGTGCTGTCCTTAGCAGGAAGCAGGTATGCCACATATGATGACAGGTGCCTTGCTATGTGCTCTTGTTTCCTGGGACAAAGTCCACAGCCACCCCCAGCAAAATCCCCTCCAGTCAAAGCTTCAGGGAGGACACCCCTCCTCCAGGTCTGCCTGGGGAGAGAGAGACTGCACTTTCTGGGGACCAGCACCAGTCTCCTAGAAGCACTGTGTTTCTCAGCTTCCAAGATGACAAGCCTGACAAGTGGAAAATTCATATGCAGAATTAAGGCTATAAAATGAATTTGGCACCTTACCTTTGAAAATGAGCATTGTGTCTCCTGTCATTCCCTTTTTAGTTTGATCCCACTGTTGAGTTTTGGGAACTGGGATGGGGAGACTTTCCATTGCGCAGCCCCTGCAGTTGGAATTAGTAAGGGATTTGGTGGACACATTGTTTAGGCTGTCTTGTGGTGCAGGGATGGATAGTGGGGGCGTTTCTTCTGTGTGGGGAGGAAAGGCAGAGAATGTCTAGTCCAGAGAACCACAGGTCACAAAACAAGCTATGGAACAGAGGAGTTGATCTAAAGCCATGCATGCTGGGCCTCAGCTGACTTAGCCAGTGACTGGAGCTGGAGTATTAAAGCCAGTGGGTTTAGCTGGTGTATTAGCTTCCTGTGGCTGCTGTAACAAACCACCACATTAAGATAACACCCTTTTATTCTCTATGGGCAGAAGTCTGACATCAGTTTCACTGAGCTAACATCAGCTTAGTGGCAGTGCCAGCTCCTTCTGGATTCTCCCAGGAAGAATAAGTTGTCTCGCCTTTTCCTGCTTCTGGAAGCCGCCTGCCTTCCCTGGCATGTGACCCATTCTTCACACTTCTCCAGACTCGCTTCCATGATCACATCTTCTGCTTCTTTCTTTGACTTTCTTGCTGCTTTCTTTTAAGACCCCTTGTGATCATACCTGGATAATCCGGATAATTTCCCCATCTAGAGAACCTTAACTTAATCCCCATTTTGCCACATAAAGGAACATATTCCAGGTTTGGGGGGATTAGGATATGACTATTTGGGGGGGGGGGGGGGGGGGGGCGTGTCATTTTTCAGCTTACTGCAGGCAGGGTAATCTAATGTGCATGCTTTTCACAAATCCTTGCAGGGGCCAGGCACTGGCTAGGGCTGGGGGGACAGCACACAGATGCCCGAACAACTTAATGAAGAAGATGGGACCACACACACATGTTCTAGGGCCACGTTGCATGGAATGAACAGCAAATGAGGCTTGAGCACAGGTTTGTGCAGAGAGACAGTGAGAAGTGAGACAGGAAAGGAAATTGGGGCCCAGAGCACAGAGGACCTTGCAGAGCAGGGAAAAAAGTTTGGATGTGATCCCCTGAAGGAAGCAGGGCCTGTGTTTTCCATGCCCACAGTTACACAGAACACCAAGCCAGGCTGGAGGCCCATCTGAGAATGTTGGTGGCCATGTGGCAACCACTGACAAATTAAGCCTTATCTGGACTGGCCTGTGAGATGGAGAGAGCAGCTTTGCAGTCTGACAGGCTGGGTCCGCACCCCACTTAGCAGCTTTAGGGAAGTCACTCAGCTGCCCTGACTCAGTTTCCCCACTTAGGAAATGGGTACTGTGAGGACATGCCTAGCTTCTTCACAGAGCCAGATGTGCTGAGTCAGTACAGAGATGATTCTAGATGTAAACAGGCTGGACTTGGTGTTAGTTTCAGTTGCAACTGAAATGAACCAGAAAATCATAGAATTTTAGATATTTTTTTTAATGTTTATTTATTTTTGAGACAGAGAGAGACAGAGTGCAAGTGTGGGAGGGGCAGAGAGAGAGGGAGACACAGAATCTGAAACAGGCTCCAGGCTCTGAGCTGTCAGCACAGAGCCCGACGCAGGGCTCGAACCCACGAACCGTGAGATCATGACCTGAGCCGAAGTCGGATGCTTAACCTGGAATTTTAGATATTAACGATGAGCTAACCTGGAGAGTACCACATCACAATCAGCTGGGAGGTTGCACTGAAATGAAATTTAACAAAGGGGAGTCTAAGCTCACAACCAGGGTTGGAGAAACATCCCCCCCTCCCCATATATGAAGCTCAGAGAGGCTGTGGAACCCAGCCAAGTGGGAATCCTGGTCACCCTCACCCCCACCCAGCTGAGCATTGAGGCAGGTGGGATGGGGGTGGGGAGACTGCTGAGGCACCAGCTGCCATGCGGAAGGAGCTAGAAAAGAAGACAGAGTGCAAGGCCACTGGACTTGGGGGGTCGGCCCGGGTGGGCCCTGCCTGCTCATCTCCACGGGAGCCAAAGGCTGCCCCCATCCCCCCAAACCAAGAGCTACCTGGCAGGAGGCACACTCAGAAAAACAGAAAAACAAGCCAGGCCCTTGCTAGGTGGTCTCCAGGCAAAGTTCCCCATTTAGCAGGGCAGGCCGGTCCAGGCCAACTTAAGCCTGGTTCTCTGGGGTCACAGGTTAATTCATTATTATAACCCATTGTTCTTGACACAGAAACAAATAGCTGCTAATAGGTTCATTATAAATGGCTCCTTCTCTCTTCTGCCACTGGATAATATGATTTATATGAGATTTATGATTTATATAAAAATTTCAGAATGGACCTTAGAAATATCATCAAAATCCCTCCTTTTATAGATGGGGAGACAGAGGGCCAGACAGAGGAGAGATAGGTTCAGCATCACACAGCTGGTCCAACAACAGAAAGTGCTGTATGTTTCTAGAACCACTCCAGTGGTACATCTGGAGTCAAGAACTGTGGGAGATACACTGGACCAGATATGCCCCAAACCTGACCTCGTGGGTATAGCTGTATGTGTGCAGATGAGACTACAGGCTCTCCACCTGGCACACTGAAGCCAGGGGTGGAGGACCCCAGAGTGCTGGGGGGATGTGGACCTACCTAGGCCCACTCTGCTATTCACCATCACTAGAAAGTGGGGGTTTAGGGACAGGGTGTTAGGGCTTTGCCTTCCTCTTGGCCTCCTGGTGTTGGTTGGCCCTGCGTGTAGCCAGATTGGGCGTGTCAGCCAGACCTTGGGATGTGAAGGGCAGGGCAGAGTGATGCTGTCCCTGAGCCTTCCCACAGCGCCACCCGAACTGACCAGGGGCATGTGTCTCTGTGTGCTCTCCAGGAACATCCCCGGGCTCCAAGATGGCCTTGCAGAGTTCCTTCACCTGCTGGAATGGGACAGTCCTCCAGCTCGGGCAGGCCTGCGACTTCCACCGGGACTGCGCCCAGGGAGAAGACGAGGGCCAGCTGTGCAGTGAGTAGATGGGGCTGCCCTCCACCCCAGCCCAGCCCGCACCTACACCCCCCTGCCCCCATCACCCCGGGCACGAGAACTTAGACACCCTCCCTTACACCCAGTGCTACCTGTGTGCCGTCAGTGACGACTTCCAAAAGCTACACAGTCTCCAAGAGACAGAGCCAAGATCTGCATCTAGAAACAGGAGCACAGAATTTAAGAACCAAACAAGATCATGTAGCTCATGCTGTCAGCATCCTAGTGGCACAGAGAAGGTGTGCAGGATAAAGCCTAACTCAGGAACATGAGCCCCCCTGTGCCCAGACTCCCCTCCCTTTTCAGGCCTTATCTTCCACCACCCACCTAGCCCTCCAATCCTCCTGGTCTTCCGTGTGCCTCAGCGCCTGCTGGATCAGACCCCTTCCCCGCTCCAGCACACCTCCATGGCTTTGCTCGTGCGATACCCCTGGCCAGAGTGCCCCTTCCTCCTTGGGTCACCTCCAGAGTCAGTCCTTCTGGGAAGCCTCCTCTAATGCCTCCCACAAGTACCACGCCAACAAATATAGCTGGCTTTTCCTCTCGACTCCCTCCGTTGGTGTATCCATCCATCCACTGCGTGTCCCTTCTTTTTTATTAACAGCTTTTTAGAAATACAATTCATATACCATACAACTCACCCACTTCAATTGGACACATAAGTGTTTTTTAGTATAGTCCCAAGGCTGTGCAACCATCACCACAATCTAATTTTAGAACATTTTTATCACTTCAAAGGTAACCCCTAGCAATCTTTCCTCATTTCCCTCCAATCTCCCCTCCCCTACTCCCCCCCAGGGGCCGCTAGCCCTAAGCAACCCCTAATCTACTTTCTGTTTCTATAGATTTGCCTATTCTGGGCATTTCATATAAATGGAATCATACAATATGTATTCTTTGTGATTAACTTCTTTCACTCGGCATAATGTTTTCAAGGCCCATTCTTGTTGTGTCGTGTAAGGATCTCATTCCTTTTTACTGCCAAGTACTATTTCATTGTATGTCTATTAGCACATTTTGTTCATCTATTCATCGGTTGATGGGTATTTTGGTTGTTTCTACTTTCTGGCTGTTGTGAATTATGCTGCTTTGAACATTCCTGTACAAATTTTTATATAGACAGATGTTTTCTTTTCTCTTGGGTACATGCCTAGGAGTAAATTGCGGGGTCAACACTGTATTTAACATTTTTTTTAAGTTTATTTATTTATTTTGAGAGAGAGAGAGTAGGGGAGGGAGAGAGAGAAAGAGACAATATCCCAAGCAGGCTCTGCACTGTCAGCCCAGAGCCCAGTGCAAGGCTTGAACTCAACGAATCATGAGGTCATGACCTGAGCCGAAATCAAGAGTCAGATACTTAGCTGACTGAACCACTTGGGCACCCCTGTATTTAACATTTAAAAGAACTTCCAGGCTGTTTTTCAAGGTAGCTACACCATGTGACATTCCACCAGTAATGTATGAAGTTTCTAATTTCTCTACATCCTCATCGACACTTATTACAATCTGTCTTTTCATTTCTGCCATGCTAGTGGGTGTGTACCTATTCCATTTCCTGGAGGTGGTTTCCACATCTCTCTGCCTCACCATGGGCAGATTGGATCTGTTTCTCTTCCCCATACCAGTATCTCCTGGCACAGCATAGGTGGTCACTATTTGTTGATTCAAATGACTAAATGAGTCAGGACACTTGGTTTCCATGGACCAAAACCAACTGCTGAGATTTCACTGATAGCTGGGGGCAGGGTTAGACTCCCAGCCCAGTGCTCATTCCGGCCCGAATCCGGTGTTCTCGGCAGCTGCCTGGTTACGAGTATACACTCGAGAGGTTTTTACATTTATGCCAGGGAAAGCACAAACACTTATAAAACACATATATTGAGAGCTACAAAATGTACTAGAGCCCACAGCAGGGATGAATAACAGGCACCTGTCTTTAGACTGCTGAAAATCCAGCACAGGGGAAAGGACCGAAGCCACAGAGTTGCATTAGGGAAAGGATGTAGCACATGCATGCCTGGGGTACACTGGGGCCCAGACACAGGAGCAAATGCCTCGCCCCTCAGATGCACTGGCCCTAAGACATTGTGGCCTGCAAAATAGCTTTAAAAAGTTAACAGTATCCCCCATATCACCTGCAGGACAGGTTTTCCCTTGGGGGAGAAAAGGTTTTATTTATTCTCTTTTAAATGAAGCAATAAAGAAAATCCATTTTTCAATTTGAAAAACTTCCTTTTTAGATAAAACTTCCCAGTGAAGTTTTCCAATAATGATGGAATTGTGGTTGTTTAGATAAAACTCAGTAAAGACTTACAGGTAAGCCCTTTGTTTATCCCACACTGTTCCTGGCCTTTCTTCACAAAGCTCTCACTCGACATGTGGACCAAAATGAAGCCAGCCCACCCATGTTGTCCTGGGCAGGGGTCTGCGTGTGTCTCTCTAGTTACTGGTCTCTGCAGTGTTTCCAGCAGTGCATCTGAGCTGTGTGATTTTGCTTTTGCCTTTTTAAAGTTTTTTGATTCCCACTTCCCAGCTGGGACACAGGTCAGGCCAGCCATGCCCTGGTTTACAATTGGGAAAATGAAAGCACAGAGAAGGTAATTGATTTGTTCAGGGTCACACAGCATGTCAGGAACAGAGCCATGATTAGAGTGATGAGTCTGTGGGATCCAGCCCATTACTGTAGGCTCAGGGCATTCTCTTACCATTCTAGGGCTGCTGTTAATGGATTTCCAAGGCCAACTCCAAGCTTGAGGACAGCCTGGCTCCAGAATGGAGGGCAGGTTCCTGAGGCCCAGAGACCTTTCCAGCCACACTTGAAAAGCTGCTCTGACCAGCTCTCAGAATGACAGTTCTACCCTGGAGAAACCCCTACTGAGTTCTTTGCTACAGAAATCAGTTGCTAGGAAGAGAAGTTCAATTCAGAAGGAGGGTTATTTCGATCTTTTTGCCACTCTGATCTTGGCAGTACTCTTAGCAAATATTCTTTCCTTTCTAGTGTGTCCCATTTTGTCTGGCGTTTTTGCAGTTTTCCCATCACATTGACCAGTGTTGATTCTAGAAAACATCCCCATGAAGAAGAAGAAGAAGAAGAAGAAGAAGAAGAAGAAGAAGACGACGACTTATTGAGCATTTACTGGGTGCCAGATACTTTTCATATATGAATTTATTTCGTCCTCAGAACAATCCTATGAGATGCTACTATACCCTTCTTAGAGATGAGGAAGCTAAAGTCCATGAAGCTGTTAGCCAGCGTGAACCACTGCAAGCCAGACTCATTTGTTATCTGAGTTTCCAGTGGTTGATTATGCAAGCCCAACACTAGCTACGTATCTACCCAGGAAAAAGAGGAGGAAGGGAAAAAGTCAGGGAAGGTCCAGGGCTCTGCCACCACATTTCTAAGTGGGGGAGAGGGGGCGTCAGATCATTTATCTTCACCCTCTGGGCCTATTTCCTCGCTGTAATATGACTTGGAACATGACACCCACTGATGTCTTGATGTTTGTGATGCATTTAGGACCTCATCCTTACCAGGTAGTCTGGAACCTGTTAGAACGTCTTCTCTGGGAAACTGGTCACCCAAGCCTTGCTGGGAATGTCCAGTTCTAAGGAACCTGCATGAGGGTCATGAATCTCTAGCCAATGCAGTCAACTATGCCCTGCCATGGCTGGAATTTGGGGGGAGTGGGGGGAGTAGGTTGTATGCCATCAACCCCAGCCTCAACTCCCCACACTTGCTCCAGAAGGAAGTCCACACACAGCTTCATTCAGATTATTACACTCAACCTTGAGCAACATTTCAAGCCAGGATAAGTGGGAGACCTGACATGGAGGTGGCAGTGCCTTGCCCTTCTGCATCCAATCATGAATGTGTCCATTCACACCACATCCTTCAAACCACAAACATATGCCATCCTCCTTCCTGCTTTCCAGTTAAGCATTGCTGATCCAAGTGAGATATCCTGGAACACTGGAACCCGTAAAAGGGTGTGTTGAGGGTTCCCTGTGTGTCAAACAACAGCTTCAGTGGTGTGGCATGCCCCAGAAAAGGGTCAGGTGTCTCCACTTTGTCCCCTGATAGGTCACTGACTCACTTCCCCTTCACGTAACCAATAATCTCATCTGTTTGGTGGGGATTCTCTTCCTGACAGGCAAAAGCAATTTTTCAAAGTTTATTTCTTTATTGTAAAATAAAACATGTTGGTTGTAAAATATTTGGAAAAACTAGAAAAGTACACAGGAGAAAATAACTACTGCCTGTAATCCTCCCTCTCAGACATTCAGAAATAACCATAATATGATGATGTATTTCTTCTAGCATTTTTTCCCATGACTCTATATTTTCATGGAAATGTATAACACGTATTTATCAAAAATGTTAACAGAGCTGTCATGCAGGAAGGAAAAGAAGTAGTGTCATTTGGCCTGGAGTTTACACTTGGCAGCTTCCTGTAACTTCTGCTGAGGCCACATCTTCGTGACCCTACCAATTTGTCTCTCTTACAATGGAATCAGGTGTCATGATTGCCAAATGTTGCAGGATTGATTGATTGACCCCCACATAGCCTGACTTGGCCATTCAGCCAGTGAAGTAAGAGGATCAGATAGGGCAGTGCTTCTCAGCCACCAAGGTGCCTAGGAACCACCTGGAAACCATTAAAAATGCAGATTTTTGACTCAGTAGGTGGTGATGGGGGTGGTGGACCTGAGATTGCACACTTCTAACAGTTTCACCGGTGATGCTGGTGTGGCTGGTCCTTCAGCCACATTTTGAATAGTGAAGGGTTAGATGCCTGAATCCACTCCCCTTGTATTCAGCAAATAAGTATGTCAGTCCTACAGCATGGCAAGCGCTGAGTAGGTGCTTGGGGTGAATGAGAGGAGAAAGGCATCATCAAAGGAGTTGAAACCATTGTACTCAACTCTGTGTGCCAACGTTGTGCTCAGCCATTGGCCCTGACAGCAGTGTCCCAAACCTGGCCTAATCCATCAAGGGTTCTGATGTCCCCCACCCCACCAGCTTCCTTGGGAGTGGCTTCTCCCTGAGCACACACCTGCTGTGCTGGCAAGTGGCAGTAACCCTCTCCTCCTGCACCTCATCCCACTCTGCGAGGTTTTCAGAATCACATAAATTGTCCACCGACCCAACTATTTTGTCTAATTCCTCTTTATTCAATCAGCCGTAAAGAAAGTGGCTTCCAATCCCAGCTCACCCTGGATCCTGTGCAAAGCTAGGACAAGGGTGGGCTTCCAGAAGGTGGAGAGTGCCAATAGCTTTCCTCATTCCTGTTCAGGTGGAAGGCATAGGCAGAGCTACCATGGGCATTTCTAGAGAGGCAGCTGAGGGACCTGTCTCTGCCCCCAGGGCAGTGTTGGCTATGTCAGTTCATCCTCTGACAAGGTCCCCTGAGCCAGGAGTGAACAATGACTAGTAATGCCACCACCACTCTGTATTTGCTCAACTCTGTTTACAAAATTCCACACTCTGCCTTATTTTACCCTCAAAACAGCCCTGTGAAATAGACACTACTATTACCCTATTTTACAGATGAGGGAGCTAAGTGTTTGAGGAAAAGAAGTGCCTTGCCTAGAGTCACCAGCAGAAAGCAGCAGGTTAGGGCTAGAACCAGGGATCCAGATCCCAGGACCATTGAGGTATCGACATCCATAGTTGGGCTGACTTCTCTGTCTCTGCCTTCTAAAAGGGGAAGGAGGGAGTGATAAGCTGTAAAAGGCTTCAACCCAGCTCCTCCTTCTACCAGGAGCCATTGCCTGCTAGAATCTTCCATCATGGTTCCTGGTTGAAAGCACACTTGTAAAGGACGCTTCATGGAAGGTCACTTCCAGCTACCAGTTAGTTTTTGCAAAAGAAGTGGATGTGGGGTCCCTTGAGGGGGCATAAAAAATAAAACAGAAAGATCTCCTTAGCTTTTGGATTTTTAATCAGAGGAACATGCGGGGCTTGGGGGAAAATGATTTCTTCAGGGGGGTATAAATGGGAAGAGATGCTCAAAGTCAGTGACAGCCGGTTTTAATTTATAATTCTGCCTCTGTGTGAAATGCACAGAGAATCAGGGGGAAATGAGTAATAATTCACTAAGGTGCTGTCACAGCCAGGAAGCGTTAGGGCCCTCTTTGTCAGCCTGCCATTGCCGGGAAGGCTGAGACAGAGGAAGGACACAGAGAGCAGTGGGTCCAGCTAGAGCGCCTTTCCTCCTGCTCAGAGACTTAGCCCTGCTGCTTCTCCCTAGCCTGGCCTGGGGCCGTTGGTGCTATCGGAATAGCCTGGAATGGCCCACCAGCTCCTCAGACTGGGTGCCTTCCCTGCAGCCATTCTCTGAGCAAGCTGCAGAATGTGAGCTCTCTCTGACCCTCTTCTCCTTTCCTCCTCCTTCTGAGGGCACCTGGGAAATATATGGTCATAAAGCTGATTGTGGCCTTTTCAATGGGACCTGAGGTCAGCTTGATATAGAGAAAAGGGTAACAGGGCCCTTTATGCTGAGTCAACAGATGATATAAAAAGGCCCCATGGCTGGCATTGCTTGGTTGGGATAAGGTAGGTTAGAGCAGTAATAAGCCATTCCTAAATTTCAGGGGCTAACATAACATTGACAGTACCTATGCACCAAAGCGGGGGGTCTCCACAGGATCTCTCGGGGCCCCAGGCCCCACCATCTGACAGCAGTGGTCTCAGGGACGGGAATGCCCCTTGGCCACCTGAGCAGGGAGAGAGAGACCAAAGAATTGCACAGGGGCTCTTCACAGCCTCCATCCAGAAGAGACACACATCACTTCTGCTCACATTCCATGGGCTGGGGCTATTCATGTGGCTTCCCTTAATTGGAAGGGGGGGTGGGAAAGAAAGGGAAACAAATAGAAAATTTGAGCAATATGTGTCTCTGCAGACAGGGGTGACTTGAGGGACGCAACCAACTCCCACCAACTCTACCCCTGCCACCATCACATTCTTGTCATTGTGTCTGCCATCAGAAATCTGTTCCAGTGCCTTCTCCTGGGGTAACATTCGTGCTCGATCAGAATAAGGAGCACAGATTCAGAAGCAGATCTTAGGGCTAGAGCCAGGGATCCCGTGTTACCTGCTGGCTGTGTGACCTTGGTCAGATTGTTTAACATTCCTGAGCTCTCCTCTCTCACATATAAAACTGGTTTATCCCCATGCTGCCACACTATTATTTCTTTTTACTGCTATTTTATTTTCTGAAGATCAGAAAAATTGTAAACCTTCACATGTACCAGTTAAGGACTGGGGCTTCTTTTCATTGTCATCAGTATTATTAGAATCAAGGGTCCAGCTAGGGAGCTGTTGTTGATAAGGATACTTTGGTCATGCCTGACTCATCTTACTTGACATTGGCATATTTTGCTTTTAGCCGTCCTGGAAATGACCATATCCCTGTGCTCTTGTTGCAGGTAAACTCCCTGCTGGGTTTTACTGCAACTTCGAAGATGGCTTCTGTGGCTGGACCCAGGGCACGCTCGCACCCCACGCCTCCCAGTGGCAGGTCAGGACCCTGAAGGATGCCCGGGTCCAGGACCACCAAGGTACTGCTGCTCTTTTCCCTTCCCCCTGGTGCCCATCTGGCCAGACAAGAGATTTAGGACACCACCCCAGAGAAGCTGGAGCTCTCCACCCCTGCAGGGTGACCTCCCCACCCCAGCGCAGGTGACTGCCCAAAGCTTGCCTTGAGGTGTTCACACACAGTTCCCTCTTCAGACCTCCCAGGCTTCCGAATGATTAAATCAGGACAAGGTAGTCTCCCCTTTTGTTCCCTAAGATGAGACTCTGGATGAAGGATTAGCTAAAAGATAAGAAGAATAGTGGCAACAATAGTAATAATCCATTCATTCAACAAGTGTTTGTTAAGGACCTACTATGTGTCTGGCGCATAACTCACTGAGAGGTAAGGAAAACTATAGCTCTCTATGGGGAGGCTGAGGCACAGGGAGGCTTTATGTCATTGGGCCCAGGGTTGTGCCCTGAGAATCTTGCCCCACATCTGATCTGTTCCCTGGAGCCCAGCTTCCTCAGCCATACCCACCATCCTTGCCCAGCTCAAGCTGGCAACTCCCACACTCCCAGTGCCAGAGCCTCTCCTCCCCCTGCCTCTGCTTGGCTTCCAGAAGGGCAGGGACCTCCACACATCCAAGAGATGGCCACCCACACCTAGGTGAGCTGACTCCACACCTGGAGACACAGCTGGGTCATGGAACAAGGGAAGGCCTGTGAGGCCAACACAGCTCCCAAGTTCTGGCTGCTGGAGAAGCCAGACCACCCGGCCACGGGCCCAGCCTTGGGCTGTACCCAGTACTAGGCCTGAGCAGGTCCTGCGGCCCACCTCTCTGCAGGATAGAGCTGGGCTTAGAGGTGGGGGTTCTCTCTCTCCTTCCCTCCCCTGCATTTGTCTGCTCTTTGTGGAGCTATAGTCCCTTGTACCAAATCCCTCTTTGCAAGCAAAGATCATACATCCTATGGATCCCTTTAAGAATTAATAATGATGATGATGATGATTAAGGTATGAGAGAGAACCATGTCCTGATCAACCACTGGGGATCCCAGAGCCCGTGCAGTCCTATCCTGGCTAACTGCTCCTGAAAGAGCTGGCTTTGACCGTGAGGAAGCAGGCTGAGTTACCACAGCCCCAGGAGAGTTCTGCAGGCCCCTCAGCAGAGAGAAGGCCCCTGGAGCTCCCGTTTCTCCTCCTGATCCCACACTGTCATCCTCAGCACCTTACTGAGGAGCAGAGAACAGACACAGAGCTCGAAGTCAGACATGATCGTCATGTTTCTGCTGTTTGGAAGCCCCCAACAGCACCCATAGCAAATAAGCATCCAACCCTGGCTCAGTAGCTCTAGGGACTGGGCTTTCACTGCCTCCTAAAGCAGTCCTTCTGTCAAAGACCAGTGTTCCTTTCCTGGAGAGAAGCTCCACCACTCTGTAAATTCTACCCATGGATCATACTTTCTGTCTCCTGGAGCCCCACAGAACTCAACTACTCTCTGTCTCACCAAAGCAGCTCTTCAGATATTTGAAGGCAATAGCTGCTACCCACCCACCACAGGAGACTCTTTCTCTCCCTAGTCACAGATTCTTCCTCAAGGATGGGCCATATGCCCTCTAGGATTGCTGGCTGGTCTTGGTTACTCTGCTCTGGACCCATTTGAATTTGTTACTTGGTAGTAATCCAATATCAGACTTTGCTAAGAAAGAACAGCAGAACTGAATGAGTAAAGTTCTTTACAGGGTTCTGTGACACCCCTGAAAGGCTGGGGGGAGTGCTCTGGCTCCCATCTCCATAGAACTGACCACCTACAAAACCCTGTACAGTTCCTGGAGATTTACAGTTGCTTCTTCCCTGCCATGTGGGGTTGTTGGGGGTTTATGTTCTCCCAGATTTTCAGGCAGATACATGCTTAGAAAACATAAGAAATATGACTTCCTGTTCATGTCATAGGGTACAGGATGACCTGGTGGAAAAGAGTGAAGGTCATGCAGACCCTGGGAAGGCAGAGGGCCAACAGGAGTGTAATGGGGAGAGGAGGGGCTGGGAGAGGTCAGCGTGCTTCAGGCTGCTCCTGGGCTGTGCGCTAAAGCTGGTGACCTTGGGAGGTCAGGGATGCAGTAGCCCAGATGTATGGTGCTGGGATATTGCAGGGCATTTGGAATGAAGACCTTTGCGTGAGCCAAGTTTTATTGATGGTGACAAGTAGGCTGTCTTATCCACTGGAGGCAGCAGAAAACTGTGTCCTCAAAGGTGTACCACGCCTAGAGAAGAATGGGCAGAGCCCCAAGGCCCTTCAGTGCATGAGGGTGGTGCATTTCTGACTCTTTTTCTCTCTGCCCCAGGCCATGCCCTGTTGCTCAGCACTACTGATGTCCCTACTTCTGAAAGTGCTACAGTGACCAGCACTACGTTTCCCGCCCCGATGAAGAACTCTCCATGTGAGGCAAGTCTCAGTGCTCCCCTACTTCCTGGACTTCTCCTCCTACCCCTCACCTTGGGTGCTTCCAGATGAACCCAAACATCAGCAAAGTAGCCTGGATGGTTGGGCTGCTTGTGCTCCTGGGGGGAGGATACAATGGCATTTTTGTCATATTTGCAGAGAGCATGCACCAACATGGTGGAGTCCCATCTGCAGAGAATCTTACCTCAAACACCCATGCTCAGCCACACTGAACTCTTTGCAGCAGGGCCTTGATCTAAGCAAACCCAGAAAATATTTCCAAAACATAACAGGGCAGGGTAATAGTGATCTACAAAAGACTTTCTACAATATCAAGCTCTTGTAATATGTTTCAGATTTTATAGAGCATCAAAAATTTGATCTACATAAATTTCACTAAGACATCAGTAGCATTCAGTAAGGTCCCCTCCAAAGCCACTTACCCAGATGGTTCCTATGGCAGTTACCTTTTTAGTGTGGTAGGTCATAATCTCTAGAGAACAAGAAATGTGTTTAGACCCCAAACACGATCCAGTGGTTCAACTCATGGACTCTGGAATCAATTGCCTGAGTCCCAGCTAGGCTCCACCACTGACTGGCTGCACAATTTTCTTGGGCAGTTAATAATCTCTCAGGGCCTCAGTTTCCCCACTGTAAAGTGAGACAGTAGGAGTGCCTACTCTAAAGAGGAGAAGATTAAATAGGTTAATACATATACAGGGCTTATCACGGCTGCTGGCACATCATAACCACGACAGTAGTTAGCCAGCAGTGCCCGGCACCCTGAGTAAACATAGGTAAGGAGGATGGGGGAGCCAAAAACCAGATTCTAAGTTCTCAGAGAGCTCTGCATGCCTGTGCTTCTTTGCACCACCACACGGCACCACATCGACATCTTGCACTTTGTAGAAAACCAACACATAGTTGAGATTTGGCCAGTCCTGTCTTTCTGGAAACTCACAGGAGAAATCCCATCCTGGCTTTGTTTCAGGAATAGCTATGTGCCCCCTGAGCAATTTGTTTCCTTTCAAGCTATGGACATTGTGAGACTGAGCAGACTTGCTTCCCCTCCGCTGGCTGGTCGAAGCCCCAGGGAGATCCGGGAAACAGGCTTCCGCTGCTAAGGGACACAGCCACACTCAAGCCCTCCAGGCTTTTTATGAAATAAAAACTCACCAGCATAAAACACATAAGAATGGAAAAGAAGTATCAGTGACTTTTTTTTTAATCAGAAGAACGGTCACGTTAAATCTGAGGCTCCCCTTTTAGTAAGTAAATAGGGGTTCATGATGTGTAGTCTGTAATCAGCCTTACTCCTGGTTCGATCTTCTAACTCAACATTTACCCAATTTCTCACCCTTTTCTAGTTAGTTTCTGTTACCTTACTAGATGTTATGTATCTCTGGGAGCCACCTTAAGTCCTTTTTGGAGGAAGTCAGGGCACAAATAAATAGATTCATTACATTAACTTGTATTTGAGAAATCACTCTATCTGATGCAGATTGTGGATTACACAGTCATCACTGATATCTCTCAGCACCCCCCACACCCCAATGCCACCCAGAGCAGACACCTAGAAAGGAAGGCTTCTTGAGAGGAAATCTAAATGAGGAGAGATGGTCACCCTTCCTGAGAGGTCAGGGGGATCCTTAAAAGAATTTGATTTTTAAATATACTCTTCACTGTATTTAACATGAGCCTAATTTTAGAATAAGAAATGTCAAGGCTAAAAATGATATTTTTCAAATACTTCATCATTTCCCTGATAACCTTTGGTTGATCGATAGTTTAAACAGGTGTTTTGTTTTACTGGCCTGTTTTATTTTCCCTCCAGTCAAATTTGCTCTGGGCTATTTCTGCTATTTCCTGCCCTTTTCCATAACTCGACTCAGCAGGAGTAATGAAGGGAAGGCAGTGACTCCATTCTGTTCTCAGCTCACAGCTAGTTCACATTCAGATTTTCAGACCATTCATCTACTGCTGATGGGTCTTGAATCCCCAGTGTTGGGGTGAAATGTTTTCATCAGAAAAATAAATAACCAAAATAGAAATACGCATTTCCAGGTCTGTAAGCCTTGCCATTTATTTGATTCAGATCCTAAATGCAGAAGGCATGAAGCTGATTTCTTCCTCCCAGGTTAGCAAATGTCAGTGACAGGGGATGTTGCATCACTGTGTGAACTGTGTGAGGTTAACTCAGGGTCTTCAAACCCCACCAGCCCTCAAGGAGCCTGGCTATGGGGCCCAGGTACGGGAAGGGGACACTTCCTGTACCTAGGCCCTACAGGTACAGGGTAGAGATGGGTGAAAGTCTCTGGTGAAGGTCAAGCCCACAGGGACTAAGAGGCTGGCTAAGCTCCAGGGCTGACGCCCACCACTGAGTGTCGTCTCTAAACGCAGACTAGTCCTGGGAGCCCTAGAGTCCCTCCACCTCCTGGGAGTTGAAGTAATTGCAGAATTTCTCAAAATACTCCTTCAAGATACCCTACAGTCATTGGTGAATTCCCAAAAGGGAACTGGTGTCACCTTCTGTGTGTTTCCTTGAAAAATCTAGCTACAACCTGCCTAGTAGGTCTCTGTCTCTCCAGTTCCAGTCACTTGGAAATTGTGATCAGGACGGATTCTTAGGCCCCATCCCAGGCCACTTGGATGACACCCCAGAGTGGGGCCTGGGAATCTCCGTTTTCAACCCCCGCCCTCCGTGATTTGGAGGCACGCTGACACTTGAAAGTAATTGACCATAAATGCACCTGCCACTTATGACAGAAATTCATTATGAGTCCATGCAGAGAGTTTTTCCTCCACTACCCATGGTACCAAACAGTGTGACGTAACTTGCCTTTTATAAAGATGAGTCAGAAGTGGTGAGCAATGACAGGGTCAGGGACATAGGTGGTGGAGACAGAAGGGACTAGGAGAGTCCCCCTCAGAGCCCATCTGGAACCAGGTCAGATGCCCACCAGTGGTGGAGACATAGCCAGGATGTGCCAGTCAGCTTCCAGGCTTTTCCAGAAGCATGCCTGCTCCAGCCTCCTCCCTCCAGGTGCCTGCAGTCACCACTACTGGCCTGGCACCTCTCACTGGCTGGCCTCATGCAGGCACTGTCTCCTTCTCCGTCACTCCGCACAGTTGCATATGGGGCATGAATATTTAAAGACCTCTGCCTAGCCGAGCCACAAACAAGAGAGAGTGTTTTATATATATAT